GCCAGTAAATGCTAAGCTCCATTCAGTTGCCCCAACTCCACCCAAGGGATTACGGAATCATAAAAAGACAAAACAAAATTAGGGAAGGAAATTATTATGAGATGGGATAACCTGGGCTTAACAGAGTGGTTAAAAGCCTACTCACACGATGGACCAAACTGTATATTGCAATCCACATGGTCAAAAACTACAGAGGAAGCGATTAGATTGCAACTAAACTTCTATTTGTATATCGCTGATTGCATGATTTCCGTAATAAATAACCAAGGTTCTTTCTACTGAAACAAATTTCAAGAGCAATTTTTTCTTTTGTGAAATTAAAAGGGAACTTATTAAAAAATATAGAATTTCCCCAAATCTCTCTTCTACCTTTCTGCCAATGAATGGTATCCAAGGAGCTTAGCAAAAATAATTTAGTTAAAAATCACCAGGAAGAGCATAATTAAAAACTCATTAAAAAAAGCCATGACTAAAGGGGAAAAAAAAATCTCTCAGCATCTCTACACAATTTTAACAGCTAAAACCAGCTTAGACATCAAAGGTCTGCTTAGATAAAAAGAAAGAAACCTTCTCTGCCAATGGAATAACAATGGATAACGCTCAGTAGAAGCTCCAGAAATTAAAAGCAAGTTCTTTTTTTTCATCTGGATTCCCATCAAACTTCTCTTAGAAGGTAGAGAGACTTAGAAGAAAAGCCTCTTCTTGTGTTGTTAGGAACTGAAGGCTCTGTAGAGCCTTTTGAAGGAAAGAAGTAGGACAATTGATCTCAACCCCACACTAAAAGAAGCTTCATCAGGGTGTCTGCAGGAAATTTAAACAAATCAAGATGACTATGACCGTTAAATTGAGGTTGCCATATTGATTTTTCTGACTGAAGGTACCTTTGGATGTCCGCCATGGGTTAACAGTTGATCAGCTGAATCAGTACTTTTATTCAAGCTCTAAATTAATTAGTTAACATATTAAACATAGAATTACTTTGGTATTTTTGTCTCGTACAGACCTTATAATCGTTCCAGAAATACCCAACTCCGATAGAAAAACTCAGAGATAGGCATTTTCTCAAAGCTCCCATTTATTAGTGTAGGTATACAGGGATTTTAGATACAAGGCAAGGCGTGAGGTGATTTCCAGAACTTTATTTAACAGGTTTTAACAGCAACAACTATTCAGGACTCACGCGCGGGACAGCGCCGTCTGACAGCTATTTATATGGATAGCTGTCAGGCGGCCAGCCAATGGGAGTGGCACAATTCTCCCACCGGCAGCCAACTGCGCCTGGACCAATCAGGTTGCGGCGGGGCGGGGCTTGGCTGCCGGCTGCGTCAGGAGGACGCAACAAGGGGCATTTGGGAAAACCCGAATCTGAGATTTCCGGGTTTTCCCTCAGTAAGTCAAAAGTCCAAACCCAACCGCTGCACCCATCAGTCCATCACATGGTCCAATCCAGAGGTGGGTTGCTCCCGGTTCTGCCTGGATTGGGTGAACTGGTATTAGCGGCAGCGGGAGGCTCCGCTCACCCACCGGGACACTTCTGCACATGCACAGAAGTAGCGTGAGTGCATGCAGGAACAGCACAAGTGCGTGCAGGAGCGCACCCGAACCAGTAGTAAGAAAATTGGCATCCCACCACTGGTCCAATCCCAATCCCTCCAAACTCGAGACATCACTTCAATAACTTCTCCTCCAGGTGCAGGAATGACATGACCTTTACCAAAAAGAAGAATGCTATTTTGTCTAACTACATTCTCTCTACTAAATCCCCCCTCCTAATTTCCCAGGCACAAGAATGTGGCAGCATGGAAGTTTCCGGTGTTAATATGGCTTCCAATGCTGACATTCCCATTAACAGGTGGCTGTTAGATAGAAGTTGGGTTGACAAAATAAGAAATGTGGAGGTGATAAGCCTCCTGGGAAAGCCAAGGGAAAATCATCAAAACCATTAAAAAGTGAAAGTTAGAATATTTCAGACATGNTTTATGAAATTTGTATTATGGCACATGCTTGTTCATGTTCTTCTGTTTATACCAGGGTTTGTTCCATATCCATCTAGCCTCTTTTCCCTAACTGACAATAGGGACAGTTTAACAGACTGCACGAAAGGTATTGAATAGTCTTTAGTTCACTAGCACCTGAACCAGTTTTTCTTAACTTTTGTTTGCTAATGTTTTTGACCAAGGAATGGGCAGCTGACTCACCCTCCATTTGCATTTGAAGATAATAAAAATTAATGAACTGATCTTTCTAAAACCTTGCAGGCTTCTTACTTGGTGCCATTTATGTGAGAAATGCAGCTTTCATAAGTACAAAAATCCACTCCTGGGAAGAATGGATTTTATAGCATACTCACTATACTATACTCTCTACTAGAGCATACTCTAATATAAAATTTGGAAATGAGAATTATTTTTGCAACTTCCACTAGAAAGATACAAGTCAATGGTATATCAGTCACCAATCTTCTTCTTTACTTCTCCTTTTGAAATATCTTAGAAGCAGATGACTTAGCAGCTCTCTGATAATGGGAATGGTATTTACTGTCTAAATGTTCAGAAAACCACCTATTGAAGGATGTGCTCATATACATCCATGGTCCCTTCATACTGATAGCCTTGACTTACGACCACATTTGAGCCCAAAATTTCTGTTGTTAAGTGAAACATTTGTTAAGTGAGTTTTACCCCATTTTATGACTTTCTTTCCACAGTTGTTAAGTGAATCATTCCCATTGATAAGTTAATAATCCAGTTGTTAAGTGAATCTTGCTTCCCCATTGACTTTGTTTGTGAGCAGGTCTCAAAAGGTGATCACACGACCTTGGGACGCAGCAATGGTCATAAATATGAACCAGTTGCCAAACATCTGAATTTTGATCACGCGATCATGGGGATGCTGCAAAGGTTGTACCTGAAAAAAGGTCACTTTTTTCAGTGCCGTTGTAACTTTGAACAATCACTAAATGAACTGTTTTAAGTTGAGGACTATCTATGTTTGTTTGTCTATGTTTGTTTTATTTAAACCTGAATTTATCTGAATTTCTGCAGCTCTATTTCTGCAGAGAACACAGTTATTTCAGATTTTACAGCTGTCTAGAATCCTATGAGCTAGTGATAGAAAATAAACCCCTGTCTTGTCCAATTAAATAACTGCTAAACATTTGAGTATAAGAATGCAGGAAGACAACGTAGAATAAAGAAATATGAAAGCTAAATAAGTAAGCTTATACAGAAGGCTATAAAACTATTTTATATTGTTATGTGTTTTGTTTTTTTCTGTATGTGTTGGGTTTTTTCTTTTCTGTTTTTAAAGGTTAAAGTGCTTAATAAAAATTATTTTTTAAAAAAGAATGCAGGGAGCAAAGCAGTGGTGGGTTTCAATTTATTTTACTACCAGTTCGCTTATGCGCGCTTGCTTGTGCGACACTTCTGCGCATGCGCAGAAGCGTCCGGGCTGGTGGGCGGAGCCTCCCACTGCTGCCACTACCAGTTTGCCTGATCTGGGGTGAACCAGCAGAAACCCACCTCTGGAGCAAAGGTCCTGTATATTTTGTCCTTATTTGTTATATACTACTGGAAATAATTCCTCAGAATATATTATGGTTTACAATTTAGCTCAAGCAGCTAAAAATATATTTTCCATAATGTGAAGAGTGATACAAAGTTCAATCAATTTCCAATATCCAATTTTTATGAATAACATGGCATACATTAATCTTTTGTGGGTTTCTCCTCCCCCCCCTTAGGCAGAGAAAGCAGAAGGCTTCCTCAACCTTCCCAACTTCACAGTGGATCAAGCAACAGAATGCAAGAAAAAACAGTAAGTCTAGCATTCTGTTTTGGTCTTTGGGAAAGTTACAAATTATTTTGAAGTTACAGCGAATTAAGAAGAATAAAGCAGAATAAAGCTGGGATTGAACATTGCTTAAATAGTAATCCACCCAAATGCATGATATTGCTTTATTCTGGAAAAAGGAGAGCACAACATTGCAGCATGATGGATTTTCAAAAAGTTTGTATTTCATTACAGGGATATTTTCACTGTATTGAAATGTTTCTGATTCTTTTATTCAGCCTAACTTTTAGAAAGTCTAATATTTTCCCATATGTTTTAATTTGTTTGGAAGCGCGATGAAGATCACACATCCACAAATCAAGACATTCTATTTTGCAGCAGAAAATGTACACGAAATGAATAGGTAAGTAAAAATAAATACCCAACTTCAGTTTCTTTCAGTGGATTAATTGTATTGTTTTGATTATTATTTCTATATAGACTGTTGTCTAAAGTGTCAGTTCAATGGCTTTTGTTAAGGTGGTGGCCTAGAAATCAGAAGACTGTGAGGTCTAGTCCCACTTTAGGCTTGAAAACTAACTGGGTGACTTTGGGCCACTCACTTTCTCTCTCAGTCCAACTTACCTCACAGGACTGTTGTGACCAAAATAGGTGAGGAAGGAGTATTATGTATGTTCACTGTGTGGAGTTACTTATAAAGTAATCAAGGCAAGAATCCCCAAAGAAGACTGTGGAAAATCTGTTGTCAAGAAAACTGTACAATTATATCTCTGATGCCACCAGGAGTTGGTTGAAGGCCATTTTTGCCTTTATCCTAGTGTATGGAATACAGCTGGCAGAGGGATTCCTGCTCAAAGAAAGTTGTGTCCCAAAAACAACTATCTGTGCAAATGAGAAATTGAATGTAGCCTATACTTGAAGGTTTGTTTTGAGATATACAGCAGTGGAAGTGCAAATAAATATCTTCAATTATTTCCATTTGAGTGAAGAACTTTAATAGGGATTATGTCTGCTTGGTAGGTTTGATTCAGTTTACTTTAATACATACTCTAGTAAATTATCAGTTTACATGAACACATATTAGTCTACGCTGTTCTAAGACACACTTGATATGACATTCAAGGTTGATTCAGCCTTCCATTCTTCCGAGGTTGGTAAAATGAGGACCCAGATTGTTGGAGGCAATATGCTGACTCTGTAAAACCCCTTTGTTGTAGCCCGCTGGTAGCCAGTGCAGTCAGACAATAAAGAGGTTGGGGAGGAACATGGGCCAGTCCTGGGGATTAAGGAAAGCTCAGACAAGGGCTCTGCCTCAGAGACAGAGAGGGACGAGCAGTGAGGCAGAAGAACAGCTGGAACTTGTTCCCAGTTTGCGCATGTGCAGAGCTGCCAGAAGACAAGAACAACTAAGAAAGCAGGGTCGANGTGCCAGGTGTCCACCACATGAATGCGCGTAGCATACGCATGCACACGTGCAGTGAGCGCATGAGTACTTAACACCCGCGATGCCTCCACAATGCTTCAGCTGCTCGACGGAGCTTTGTGCAGGCACTGTATTCTCCGTGCACGTGCGTGGAAGTCCCAAAAACCTCAAATACCGGTAAGGAATGTGGGCGGGCGGGTGGACCCTCTGGAGCACCGTACTAGAATGGTACCTGGTGCTCCCAGCAGGCACCGGTATGCCCCCGTCCCGGGGCGTACCGGTCGTAACCCACCACTGAACCAGGCCCTATTCCATGTAGCGTTTTATAAGTCAGAAGCTGATAACCTGGCACTGCCTGGGTATTTATTTATCCCAACCTTCCTTTCATGAACATCACTGCAATTACTAATGTTGGATTTTCCCCAATACTGAAGGGAGCCCCTCCCTTGGTGGAATACTGTGAAACCATTACCATGGCAACTCCACAGCACTGTACAGTAGAAGCCACTTTAAGGCAGTATGGTAGAAACCGTTTTAAGGCACAACAGGCTCTTAACAGAACACACACCCTGAGGCATGTTAGGGGTGTCTCCCCCACCCCCCGTATTTGTTTCCAGAGGGTAAATAATCTGTGTACCAAGTTTGGTTGAAATTGCTCGAGGCGTTCCAGAGTTATGCTGGAACATACCCGGACACACACAGCCATTTTTATATTGAACTGCATGCAGATGCAAACTGGCAGCCAGTGTAGCTCAGGAAGAAGAGGTGTTATACAGGCCTACTGAGGCATGCCTCTCATTGCCCACTCCTCTGCATTCTGGACCAGGTGAAGCTTCCAAGCAATCTTTGAGAGCAATCCCAGGTCATTGACTGTGATGTTAAATAGGAGCTGTGAGAATGTGGAGCTCTAGGACACACCACCTCCCAGGGGTTCCTGGTTCAGTCTTTTCCTAGCCAACATTCACTGACTCTCATCATCATGATCACCATCAGTCTCCCTCCCCTTCCTCCATCTCCATCATTTATCTTTGGATTGGAAAGCGGGGCAGCATAGCTTTCTAAGTAAAAACAGGCCATCAAATATAATATCTTTAGTGGAAAACTGTGTCCTTTAGGAAGCTGCTCAATTGCTACTCACAACAGCCTTAGCTAACTTGGCCAGAGAAGGAGCATAGATTTCTCTGTCTGTGACTATGAGCTAAGCTACCTGATATTTAAGGGGTGGAATTGTCAGTTAAAAAAAACAAATAAAGGACAACTTGCCTATTAGAATAGATTAGATTAGATTAGATTAGATTAGAATAGATTAGATTAGATTAGATTAGATTAGAATAGAT